CAAATCCATAAGACATTGCATAGTATTCATAACAAAAAATATATATTGCAAAATCTACAACCAAACTACAAAAATTATATGGTTTACATGCTAAAATAAAAAAAAAAAATAATAGTAGCTTTTTTATAGTCGAAATAAACGGAATTGAATTTTTCTTTTCTTTATTAATTCTTTCTTGTTTTCTTTCATTATTGTAAATGTATTTATCAATAATTTTTTTTGTCGATTCAAGAAAGAGTTCCGTATTTATTTTGGGAATATTAATAATATATATAAATATATTTGTGTATATTTTTTCAATAAAAAAATTGAAAAAAAAGGTAATTTACAGGCTATTTGAGCATTTCGTGTAAATTAACGTGAAACAACTATTTTTTTTATTTTTTTTAATTATTTCATTTTCAACACTCAAATAAATACAAGAGAATAACAACAAACTTAAAATGAAATTCAAATACTAAGTAGACTGAAATTCAAATGTAAATACAAATCAAAATAAATATTTCGTAAACTACGGACCGTACTTTAATCGTGAGATTCTTGTTCTTGTTCCTGCATAACAAAAAATCGTATCAAATAACTTCATTTTTTTAAGGGATCACTACTAGAAATATTGGCTTTCGTGACGCCCTAAATCGTCACTACATTTAGTTATTGTGACGCTTCGGATTTTGTGACGCCGAACAAAAGCGTCACATAGGTGGCCGTCATAATAGCTTTTAGTGACGGGAAACAGCGTCTCCAAATCTACACTATTACGACGGCTTTGTCGTCGCAAATAGATAGATTTTATGATGCCTATAAGCGTCACATTATTAATTCCCACCAACTATAACTACCTATTTTTGTGACGCTGATAAACGTCCTTTTATATGGGTATAATGACACTTTCAATTGTCTCAAGAAGTTTAACAAGTGTCTTAATATGTTGAAACCTTTATTCGTCATAAATTGTTAATGACGCTTTTATTCTCATCTTATAAATAGTAAGAAACACTTCAATCATCCCAACATAATCCATACATACAAACAGAAACCATTTACACAGTACTTGCATGCTAAAACTTGTTCTTAAAATTAATTTATTAATTTCACTGGTTCAAAATTACAAAAAATTAGTAACAAGTATTCCAGCATCTAGAACATAAAATCTCTCCAAAAACTAACACACCAATAACTTTTCAATTCTTACATTTAGAAACTTCTAAGATTTAATTAATGACACTACACTTGAAAGCAATCTTCAAATTGCATACCATAGTACGACTTGGCCATAAAACTGATGCAAAATTGTCTTCGATACTGTTTATGCATCCATAGTAACCTATTAAAATTATCAAATATTAGTGGATTTCAAATAACAAAAAATCTAAACCAATGAGCTTTTAGTAAGAGATCAATACCAAATATTGCAGCCAAGCAATCTTCAATTGTATAATCGACTGCCTATATGCGCTTCCCATTACTGCAAAATAATTATCACACTATAAATAATTAACAGCAATCAATATTTCACTTCTATAATCGAAAAACATAGTAAGAAATTTAGATCTATCAGCACATAAATTAAATAAATTAAAATATTAACCACAACGGATACATTTATTTCATTAGAAAGATTGAACATATTCAACCGGTCAGTAAATAGCAAATGAACAATTTTATGGATAATTCTAATCTTTACAAAGAGATTGGTTAACTCATTTTTTTTACGGTAAAATTTCATGTGTGTCCCTCCCATCTATATAGTTTGTAATGTTAACTTACAAAAATTTCTATAACAAAAAATGTGAGTTTATATAAAACATCAAGTCCACAAGGATGATATATATAAAAGGTTACCGTATTGCTTGGCTCTGTAGATTCTTGGAGTAACCAAAACTATCTTAATCAGATTCACTCACTCATTCTTGTTTGGATTTCTGAAAATATTGTTAATTGCAAACGAAAGTCGCTCATAATTCAACACAAAGAACACAAACAAGATAAATAGTAGATATATCTCAAAACTAGACACGTTCACATAAGTAAACATAAAGAATGAAAAACAAAGAGCATTCAGTTATGCCAGTATGCTTATTGGTTAAGAAAACATCGATTTCAAACTTAACCATTTATTTATATATTAACCTTGCAACATCTAAAAAGCAACCAAAATAAGTACACCAGTCATCCTAAACTTCAATAAAATAGAAATGAAAGCTAAGCCAAATTCCTTATCCGAAACCTACAGGCTACAAGAATGATATTCACAATTATTGGATTCTGAAAAATAAATAATCTTCATAGTCAACGAGGCACTATTTGATGTATTCTTGCATCATATTTATTTCGTTTTATGTTAATAGAATTAGAAATTAGTGAAAGCTTCAAACTTTGAACATTCAGAACTTACCATGTGAATGCAAATGTACAACATAAGTAGACAAGTATTATTGATTGCTTGTTTTATAGGAAATAGTAATTTCAACTATGGAAACTTGTAATGATTATTATAACACACATATGCCAACTAAGTGGATATAGCTAATCAGCCTCAGTCAAGATAAATGGAAAATATACAGTCTCACATCAGAATCACAAGTTTTCAGCTTCAAAACATGCTAAACAGCAATATAAGGAGATACCTCTTCTTCTGGTGATATATCACCAATGTCATAATCAATAGCCATAAAATAAACCCCAATATCACCAAATCAACGTCCAAAAGCTATTAAAGGCTGCAATCTGAAAAAAAACAAACACACCCACAGAGAAAACAAAGTGTTTGACGAAATTTCACCAATTTTCATGAAATTAACAAAGACATAATAATGCCCATCACATTTAACATGTCGACTGAACCAAAACGAAAAACATAAATATAAGAACCCCAATTGAAGACGACATGTAAAAGATCAGTTTCACCAAATTATAGTGAAGTACAATAAATATAATCCAGTACATACGCTGCGCAAATATGTTGAATACTACTACAGAAATTGCAGAAGAAAAAAATGAAGTAAATAAACACAAAAGGAGTCAAACCGAGAGAGGGAGATTTGATACCTGATATTGCGGGGCAATTGAAAAATGCGGGGAGTAAGAAACAGATTAATTCCCATACATCGGAAACTTTTTTGGTTTTCGTTCAAGCGGCGCCAATAACTGGATCTAAGTAATTGGGGGAAAGGGTTTTGAAGAGAGAGGCGGCTGATCTAAGAAATTGGGGGAAAAGTTTTTGAAGAGAGAGGCGGCTGATTTGGATCGAAATATTTATGGCCAAAAGAAAAAAATAGGAGAACTGGAGTCTGGAGGGTAAGGATTTGGAATCAGTGTGTGTTTACGGCACCAACGCACACTGTGGCTGCACTTTTTATTATTTCAATGTGGGCTATTGTGACAATTCTTTGAAAGGCGTCATCAAATATTCATTTTGAGAATTAAAAAAAGAGAAAATAGAATAAAAGCACGGAACTAAGGAGCACCCTTAGTTAGGCGTCTTAATAGACTAGTTCTTGAGACGTTTTTTATGAGTTGTCATATTAAAGGGTCATTTAGCCGTCACTAAAGACTGATTTTCTAGTAGTGGATTTCACATTATTTAATACGATTTTTTTATGTAGGAACAAGAACAAGAATCTCACAATTTGATTCATAAGATTTAGGATTCGATTTGCTATAAAAACATATATTTTAAGAATAAAACTAAATTATGCTAAAATTATAGGTTTTGATTACAAACACTAGTTACATACGATCCTAAATCTTATAATAATAATAAGAATAATAATAATAATAATAATAATAATTACATTGATGAATATTACAAATTAAATGACCATAAATCATACACTTTTAATACTTAACTTTTTTCTTTATTGTTTTAAAGAAATTGGTCTGTTTACTATTAATTTTTTTTTTATTTTAGCATGTAAACCATATAATTTTTGTAGTTTGGTTGTAGATTTTGCAATATATATTTTTTGTTATGAATACTATGCAATGTCTTATGGATTTGTGTATATCGTTATTATATTAAAGTATGGCACGTAGTTTACGAAATATAGGTTTATTTTAATTTGTATTTACATTTGAATTTTAGTTTATTTAGTATTTGAATTTCATTTTAAGTTTGTTGTTATTCTCTTGTATTTATTTGAGTGTTAAAAATGGAGTAATTAAAAAAAATAGTGATTTCACGTTGCATTTCCTGGAAATTTACATGAAATGCAAGCTTGCATTTCCTGTAAATTTACACGAAATGCAAGCTTGCATTTCCTGTAAATTTACACGAAATGCAAGCTTGTATTTCACGTAAATTTACACGAAATGCAAGCTTGCATTTCGTGTAAATTTACACGAAATAATACAAAATTCTGAAAAATAAAGCGTTTCGTGTTGTATTGCACGAAATGGAGTGTTTCATTTCGTGCAACAGAACACGAAATTCATAAAAATGTCGAAAATCGACAAAAAACACATTTTTTAATCTCAAAATCGATTTAGGTTTCATACTTCTTGATAATTATTGTGTTCTAAATGATACTATCGGACAAATTTGACGATTTGGTAAGTTTTAAAATTCGGAGGTTGAGAGGATTTCGAAAAATGTTAAAGGGTTTTTTGACAAATGAATTATTTCGCACTGTAACCGGAAAAAAATGCACTATGAATAGTAAGCCCCTATATAATATTTATGATTGGGAATTTCCTTTGGTATATATTAATTAATTATGGGATAATTAGCAATACCCCCTCATCTAGGTAAATATGTTAAGAAAACCCCCCTCCCAAAAATAATTAGAGAAAACCCCCTTATCTAATATTCTACCCAAATATTATTTAATAATTCCCAAACAAACTTATTACCCCTAAATTATAGCCATTGACTAAGTTGCCCCATTGTGGCCTCTTCCCCCAACAAACCCACGTCACATTCTCACTCTTATCTCTTCTCTCTCTCTATCTTTCTCCTCTTTCTCTCACACACACAAACACACACCTTCGGTGTTGCACAACTAGCCGAAGGAATTCATGGAGTTTTCGATCTGTGGCTGGAAGAATCTGGACCAGGAATCTGTTCCGTCTGCAGCTCTGAGGAAAGAGTGGAGCTGAGTGATATGGAACACGCATGAATCGGGGAATCCAGGGAGGTTGAACTCGTCGTCGGCAGTACGGCGGTGGTGGGGGAGGTGCTGCCATAGGGATACGTATGCGGCGGTGCCGTTTTGATCGGCGGTGATGTTCTGAATTAGGGCACGGAACGGTGGTTCGAGGGAGGTTGAGGAATGGAAGAGGTTAACGACTAGGTTTAAGGGGAGGGATTCTGTGTTCTCGGCGTTTGGCGGGAGGCCGTGGTCGGAGGTGTTGAGCGGGAGCTCGAATAAGTGGATGCCAGAGCTTGGTGTAGGATTTTTGGCTACGACGCCGGCAAGGTGGCGGACGTTGAGTGGAGTGGTGGCGATGGTGATTGTGAAGCCGAATCGGCGGTGGATTTGGTTGGCTAGTGCTAGGAATGGGATTAGGTGGCCTTGCGCCATGAACGACAGCATCACTATGTGCTGGTGGTGCTGCTCTTCTCTGTCCGCCATTTTTGCTCTGTGTTTTTTCTTTGTTCTCTATGTTCAGTAGTCGATTAAGGCTTAATCGACTATGTTATACTCGATTAAGCCTTAATCGACTATGTTCAGTAGTCGATTAAGGTTAATGTTAAGTGTATATTTATACACTTAATTGTACCTTTTAATTGGAGCTTTTGATGTGTTTTTACGATAATTGGTGCTTAATATGGCTATTATTTGTATTTTAGGTGCAAATTGAAGAATTGGCAACTTTTGGGGTGAAAACTGCAAATTCGGAGAAAAAGTGGGCCAAAAGTGAAAAAATCAGAAATCTGGAGAATTAAAGACCGCACGGCCGTGCGGATTTTAGTTCAAAATCTCACACGGCCGTCCGGGTGGACGTGATGGCGCAGTGAAGGGAACTCAATTATACAAGGAAACCCGCCCTATTAGACTTTTGCACCCTATTTAAAGGCCACAAGCACACAATTAGACCTATCTTTTGAATTTTTTTTTACCTTTTATCGTTATTATTAGTTTTTAGTTTTTATCTTTTCTACACGCAATCAAGGAGCAAGAGAACGAAGACGAAGACTTGACGACTCTTCATCCTAGTTTTCCTTTTTCCTTTTCTTTTTTGATTTTTATGATTTTTCGTATTTTTATTATGTTTTTCGTAACGAACATGAGTAGCTAAGTTTTTATTCTAGGATTTTATTGGAACCCTATGTGGTAATTCGAACCTATTTTTCTACTTTTATGCAAGTTTAATTCTTCGATTATTTCTTCTATCTTGATCTTATTTAGTGCATGAGCGTAGCTAACTTATGTTGCTATTTGTTATTGTTAGAATTGATTGACAGATCGTTTTAATAATTAGAACAGGGATAGAAGAGCCTTCGAGTAGTTTTTCACCGAATGTGTGTGTTAATTGCATGTATTATCGTAGACATACAGATAATACCTTAGGTAGCCGTTTACGAGACTTGTTATTTAATGCTTTATTTATACTAGGTTTGCATCGACATATAGTGAATCTTTTATGAATAATAGGTTTATAGCGCAGCGACAGCTGGTTATAAATAATTTCGTGTCTTGGGTTAATAATCGGGAATCGTAACTTGCATAATAGGAGATTAATTGGGTGAAGAATTATCGCATAGGGGGAAGATAAAATCCTAGATCCGTTTATTATTGATTTTTTTTCTCGTGATTACTTGTGTTCTTAATTAGTTTAATTTATTTAGTTAATTAATTTGACAACCCTGCGTAGGCTGGATAAAAATCACAATTGTTAGGATTTGGTACTTAGGATTAAATAATTTGCGTATTCCCTGTGGGATCGACATCCGACTCTCACGAGTCTACTTTACTACTTGTTTGCGATACGTACACTTGCGTGTTGGTATTTAGCACCCAACAAGTTTTTGGCGCCGTTGCCGGGGAATACGGCTAAATTATTTATTTATCCTAATATTAAATTTGAACAATTTTTCTTACTTCAGCCAAATTTTTTTTATTTTATTTAATTATTTTTTTTATTTATTTTGTTCTAGGTACTTTTTATGCTAAGAGGACACGACACGAGCCTGCTACCTCTTGATCCCGAAATTGAGCGAACGTTTAGGCAAGCCAGGAAAAATCAACGGTTAGCCCAAAACAATCCGGCAACGATGGAAGACGAGAATAATCGTGGAGAAGGTGACCAAAGGCGCCCACCGAATGTGGCAAGAGAAATCGTCAACGAGCAAGAGCAACGCCAGCTGATTAATCCACCGCCTCGTCAACGAGCACTGCACGAGTACACCGTCCCGACACTCAATGGGTTCCAATCAAGCATCCAGCAGCCCCCCATTGAAGCCAACAATTTCGAGATTCGAGCGGGACTCATCACGATGCTTCAAAACAATGATTTATTCAGCGGATTGGCTCATGAAGACCCACACCTCCACTTGGTCAACTTCCTCGAGACGTGTGACTCGCACAAGATGAACGGAGTAACACCCGAAGCACTGCAACTCCGCCTGTTCAAGCACTCCCTACAAGGAGCAGCCCGAGAATGGTTGCAAACTCGCGCACCGCACTCCATCTCGTCGTGGGCCCAGCTAGCTCAACTTTTCATGAACACATACAACTCCCCAACAAAAACTGAGAGAATCCGGAGAGAAATTCAAAATTTCATACAAGAAGCCGGTGAAGCACTATTCGAGACGTGGGAGCAGTTCAAGCAGCTAGTAAGGAGGTGCCCGAATCACGGACTACAAGAGTGGCGCCAATTGCAAATATTTTACGATGGACTGCAAGACAACTCGAGGACAGCGCTCGACTCTGCAGCTGGAGGTATGTTCATGAGTTTGACCTATGACGAAGCATACGAGCTCTTGGAACGAATTGCCAGAAATAAATACATGCGAGCATCGGACCGGTCGAATAGCGGAGCAGTCAAGACGGGAGGAATTTTGGAGTTAGACGGAGTCACTGCAATCACGGCCCAATTGGAGAAGCTATCGAAGCAAGTAGCGGCTTTGCAGACGCAGCAAGTCCATGCAGTCCAAGCTCCCGATCAAGGCGTGGACGAAACGGAGTCGATAAATTATGTGCATGACGCCAACCGACAACAGAGAAACCCGTACTCCAACACGTATAATCCGGGATGGAAGGATCACCCTAATTTTGGGTGGGGAGGAAATCAGCAGGGACAAAGGCAAGCACCCCCTCAAGGCTAACTGCCTAATTATTCACGACCAGCACCCGGATTCCAAAATCAGCCGCAAGCACCACCTCAAGGCGGAGACCTCGCAAATATTTTGGCCCAATTTATGACGACCACCCAAGCTTCCATTCGAAATTTGGAAACACAGATGGGCCAATTTGCAACCCAATTGAACGCGAGGCCAGCCGGTACACTACCGTCCAATACGGAAGACCCTCGAAAGGGCACCAACGAGCAGTGCAAAGCCGTAAGTTTGAGGAATGGAAAACAATTAGAAGAAGTGGCGAAGAAGGCAACAAGCAAGGATGGGGAGGAGCAACAAGAAAAAGAAGCGGAGATTCTGACAGATTCACCAGGTGAAAAAAGGGTCGTTGCGCCTAAGCCGACCCCTCAGGTACCTTATCCTCAACGCCAGATAAAGGCGAAAAATGAGTCGTATTACAAAAGTTTTCTTGAGCAATTGAATGAATTACATATTAATATTCCTTTTACTCGAGCACTTGAACTAATGCCTCATTGGGTGAAATTTTTGAAAGACATGGTATCAAAGAAACGAAAATTCGGTGAACATGAGATGATAGCGTTAACCGAACAATGCAGTGCCATTCTTACGCGTCCAATTCCACCAAAGCTTGGAGATCCGGGTAAGTTTACGATTCCAGTTGCTATCGGAGGTAAGTTCTTTGCAAAATCTCTCATAGATTTAGGTGCGAGTATTAATCTCATGCCTTTCTCGGTTTTTCAAAGTTTGGGATTAGGAGATATAAAATTGGTATCTGTGACGTTACAGTTAGCCGATAGATCACTCATATACCCAAAGGGAATAGTAGAGGATGTGTTAGTTAAAGTAGATAAATTCATCTTTCCTGCAGATTTTGTAGTTCTTGATATGGAAGAAGATAAAGAAATTCCCTTGATTTTGGGAAGACCTTTTTTGAGAACTGGTAGAACTATAATCGATGTGTATAACGGAATTTTATCTATGTCTTTGGGGGATGAAACGATTAAATTTGATGTTTTCCGTACAATGAAACACCCTCAAGAGGTTGATGAATGCTTTGCTTTTGATGTGTTAGATCAATTGAATTTTGATTTTGTTGAACCTTTAATTGCGGATCCGTTGGAAGCATCTTTGTGTGTAGGAACATCAGTTGAAGAAGAAGAAGTGACGGAACAATTATGTTGGTTGGATTCGGCAAAGCCGCTGTCAAGACCACGCTTTGAGAGTTTGGAGACGGAGATCCCGTTATCTGTCACTTTTAAGCCTTCAGTGATCGAACCTCCGAAACTTGAGCTTAAAGTTTTACCATCTCATTTAAAATATATGTATCTTGGAGCTCATGAGACCTTACCTATTATTATTTCCTCATCGTTGACAGGTCTACAGGAAAAGAGACTTTTGGAGGTATTGCGAGAGCATAAGCTAGCACTTGGATGGACAATCGCCGACATCAAGGGCATAAGTCCAACTTTTTGCATGCACAAGATCATATTGGAGGAGAGCCATAAATCTTCGGTGGAACAACAGAGGCGATTGAACCCCATCATGAAGGAAGTTGTGAAGAAAGAAATCATCAAGTGGCTAGACGCAGGTATTATTTTTCCTATCTCCGATAGTGCGTGGGTTAGTTCGGTACAATGTGTACCCAAGAAGGGGGAATGACTGTTATAAAAAACGAAAAAAATGAATTAATCCCTTCTAGGACAGTAACGGGTTGGCGAATTTGCATGGATTATAGAAAATTGAATAAAGCCACTCGAAAAGATCACTTCCCGTTGCCCTTTATTGATCAAATGCTTGATAGGCTAGCTTGTCAAGAATTTTATTGTTTTTTAGATGGGTATTCCGGTTACAACCAAATTGCCATAGCTCCCGAGGACCAAGACAAAACCACTTTTACTTGTCCTTTTGGTACCTTTGCTTTTAGATCTATGCCTTTTGGTTTGTGCAATGCTCCTGCTACTTTTCAACGTTGTATGATGGCAATTTTTACGGACATGGTTGAATGTGGTCTTGAAATTTTTATGGATGATTTTTCTGTCTTCGGTGATACGTATGACACTTGTCTCCAAATACTGGCTAAGGTTCTTCGCAGGTGTGAAGAAACAAACTTGGTGCTCAACTGGGAAAAGTGCCACTTTATGGTGCAAGAGGGGATTGTGCTAGGACACAAGGTGTCAAAGAAGGGGTTAGAAGTCGATCGAGCAAAAATCGAGACAATCGAGAAACTACCGCCACCAATTTCCGTAAAGGGAATTCGAAGTTTCTTGGGACATGCGGGATTCTATAGGCGGTTCATCAAAGATTTCTCCAAGGTAGCCAAACCATTGTGCAATTTGTTGGAGAAGGATATCAAATTCGATTTCAATGACGAATGCCTCAAAGCCTTCGACGACTTGAAAACAAGGTTAGTAACAGCCCCTATTATTGTTGTGCCCGATTGGAATGAACCTTTTGAGCTTATGTGTGATGCCAGCGATTTTGCGGTAGGTGCCGTGTTAGGTCAAAGAAAGAATAAAATGTTTCATTCAATTTACTATGCTAGTAAAACTCTCAACGATGCACAATTGAATTATACCACCACTGAAAAAGAGTTGCTAGCAGTTGTTTTTGCATTCGAAAAATTTAGATCATATCTTATAGGCACCAAAGTCATTGTCTTCACGGATCACTCGGCTTTAAAATATTTGATAGAAAAGAAAGAGGCAAAACCTAGACTTATTAGGTGGGTATTATTGTTGCAAGAGTTCGACTTGGAAATTCGTGACTGTAAGGGTAGCGAAAACCAAGTAGCCGATCACCTATCTAGGTTAGAAACGGAAGTCAAAGATCCAATTTGCATTAATGAAAATTTTCCGGATGAACAATTGCTTGCGATTAATAATCAAGAAGTACCATGGTATGCGGATTTTGTGAATTATTTAGTTAGCCATGTACTACCACCCGAGCTCACTTTTCATCAACGGAAAAAGTTTTTACACGATGTGAATTTCTACTTTTGGGAAGAACCCTTTCTGTTTAGACAATGCAGCGATTTAGTCATTCGAAGATGTGTACCGGAAAGCGAGCAAAGAGATATACTTTTCCACTGCCATGGCTCGGATTATGCGGGACATTATGGAGGAGAGCGCACGGCGAGAAAGGTGCTTCAATCAGGTTTCTTTTGGCCAACTTTGTTTAAAGATTGCTATAATTTTGTTTCAAGTTGTGATAGATGCCAGCGAGTTGGTAATATTTCAAGGAGGCACGAACTCCCATTAAATACAATGATCGAAGTAGAGCCCTTTGATGTATGGGGGATAGATTTTATGGGACCTTTTGTCCCATCATTCAATAACTTATACATCTTAGTGGCCGTCGATTATGTATCTAAATGGGTTGAGGCGGCCGCCTTTCCTACTAATGATTCTGCAGTGGTTTGTGCTTTCTTAAAAAGACAGATTTTCACTCGTTTTGGAACGCCACGAGCAATTATTACTGATGGAGGCACTCACTTTTGCAATAAACAATTCGAAGCACTCTTGGCCAAGTATGGAGTAAAGCACAAGGTCGCATTGGCATACCACCCTCAGACGAACGGGCAAGCCGAGGTAACGAATCGTGAAATCAAAAACATCCTCGAAAAGGTTGTGAGTCCTACCTGGAAAGATTGGTCGAGAAAATTGGATGATGCACTTTGGGCATATCGTACGGCTTACAAAACTCCACTTGGGATGACACCGTTTCGTTTGATTTATGGCAAGGCGTGTCATCTACCGGTTGAATTGGAGCATAATGCGTTTTGGGCAATTAAAAAGCTGAATTTCGATATTGAAGCGTGCAAGGAGAAACGAATGCTGCAACTCAACGAGCTCGACGAATTGAGATTGAATGCATATGAAAGCAATCGTGTATACAAGGAGAAAACCAAGCGTTGGCACGATAACAAGATATTGCATCGAGAATTTCAAAAGGGGCAATTGGTTCTCCTCTACAACTCCCGTCTAAAGTTGTTTCCGGGAAAACTCAAGTCAAGATGGTCCGGACCGTTTACTATACTTGACGTATTTCCGCATGGCGCAGTCGAAGTATTGGACCCCGAGACCGAAAAATCGTTCAAGGTCAATGGACAACGCCTCAAGCATTATCAAGGAGGGGAATTCAATCGCCAAGTGACTTCGGTCACGTTAGCTTGAACAAAGAAGCAGACAAAGTCCGGCTGAAGACTGTAAACTTAGCGCTTCTCGGGAGGCAACCCGAGCTTTCGTTTTTCTTATTTTTTGTTATTTTAAATTTTTAGTTTTTATTTTATTTCAGCTTAAAAAAAAAAAAAAAAAAAAAAAAAAAAAAAAAAAAAGTTTCAGGGGCACTAATAAGAAGTTTTTATTTTTCAGGGCCTTAAAATGGAATTTTCGAAACTTGTCACATGGCCGTGCAGAAAAAGACCTGGAGTCTCGCACGGCCGTCCGAGAAACGGACCCAGCTACTGCCCAAATCCGGAGTTTGGCACGGCCGTGCGGATTGCTTCACAAAATCCCGCACGGCCGTCCGAAATTAAATTCAGCCACTGCCCAATTTGGAAATTTGGCGCGGCCGTGCGGATTCTAGGCAAAAACCCCGCACGGCCGTCCGAGGTGGAAAACGGGGGAATTAAAAGGGATTTTTTCACAAACAAATCCTCACAACTCCCAATTCCTTTTTCTCCCCTCATTCAAACCCTTGCCCCCCTCTTTCGAATTTTTTTCTTTTCTTTGCCAAATTTCACCGAGGATTCACCAAATCCACACATATTGTTACTTATCTCGGTGGTTTATTGTTGATTTGCACAAGGAGGATTCAAGAACAAGCAATTGTCTCCAAAAACCCATTCCACCAAGAACGCCCACAAGGTGTTCGGCGAATTGTCCGACTCAAGTTTGGGGGCAATTTTGCACACCAATTCACTCCCAATCTCCTCCACAAGCATTCTCAAAGTATGGGGAAACGCGGACGTGACGGGGAGGGCCCTTCTCAAGGCGAAAGCACCTCAAAAGGCAAGGGGAAGGGCAAGAAAACCGACCAAATTCCGACCCCCGACGACGACGCTTTTTGTGTCGACGGCGCTAGTGCTCGTTTCGAGAAGCAAAAGGGGAAGAAACTAGTAACAGAGCGTGCCTACGAGATCACTCTTCCACAATTTGCCCCGCTACATCAAGAATTCTTACGACGAGGGTGGCAAGCACTATTGGAACCGGAAGGGTCAATCAACCTATCATTGGTCCGCGAGTTCTATGCCAACAACCATATCCACCTCACAGAGGAGCGGAACGTGAGCACGGTTCGAGGCAAGAGGATCGAGTGGAATGCCTACGCAATCAATTCTTTCTATCACCTCCGACACATGACACCATTCAATTGGGGGCAAATGCAACTTGCGGTCACACGAGATCAAATCGCCGAGGTGTTGTGCGATGGACCCCCCATTTGGTCCGAACTATCAACCGAAGAAAAGTACGAGTTAGAGTGGAAATGCATCAACCAAGTAGGCAAGGCGTGCCTTACGTTCATTTGTGCCAACCTCATTCCCACCCGCTCGTGGACTCGCGTGGACCCCGAACGGTGCGCTTTGGCATACTACATCCTCAAGGGCACTCCGATCAACATTGGCGTAATCATATCCGGCCGATTTTGGACCTCCATGGTCAACAACTCCAAGGGGTTTTATTTCCCTTGCCTCATTACCGGCTTATGCAAGAAGGCGAAGGTCCCAACCAAACCGACCGACATTTTCACATCAATTCGAAATCCGATGAATGACCTTGCGGCCCGGCAATACAAGGCACCCATCCAAGATGGCGAGCAACCCGTCGAGAACCAACCAATAGCTCCACCCGAGGGTCCAAGCACAAGTTCGGACCGACGATTTCAACGAAGAATGGAGCGAGAGTTGGTGATCACGAGAAATCGGCTTGCAACGGTGGAGCACAAGGTGAGCACGATCGAATCCCTCCAACGGTGGTCGGGAAAAATGCTTCAAGCCATTGTACGCCATTTGGCATGTGGAAATCCCGAGTGTGAAGAACCGGCTCCGTTGCCCGCACCGATTCTTGAGCCGGTACCCGAGCTTTCGGATGATGAAGGAGATGGTAATGCTCATGCGCAAGGCGGAGTTGACGAGCAGCCCGACGATGGTCCCGACGCGTAAACAGGTGTTTTCTATCCTTAAACTCCGGGCAAATCACATTGAGGGCAATGTGAATTTTAAGTTTGGGGGTGGTTAACTACTTGTTTTCGTTATGTGCGCGTTATGTGTGTTTTATTTATTTATTTTTTTTATTATTTTGCATGCTTCAGTTTTTGTTTTAGTTGCCGTTTTATTATTTTCGTTTTTATTATAAAAAAAAATAATAATAAAAAAAAAATAAATAAAAAAAAATAAATAAAAAAAAAAAATTTGTTCGATGCATCAATGAATTACGATGATGGTAGATGGTCAATGTTTGATGATGAAACTACTTGTTTTATGTTCATAAGGAGTATGTATTTGTTTAGCTTTCGATTCAACGGAACGTAGAAGTAAATTATTGCTAGGAATCACACCTTGTGCATTGCTTTGGTTGAATGTTTTGCATTTTAAATTTGGAATTTATTTGTGCTCAATCATGCTTTGTTAGGTTTTAAATCTCACCTTAGGACATTTATGATACGAAGTGTTGATAATAAGTGATTTGGGATATGATTTGGGCCTTCTTTGAACCGTTTGAGCCTTTCAAGCCTACCTTTTTTGTCAAATTATCCTTAGAACCTTGATTTGAGCCTCGGAGAAAAGGTGTTCTTTCTTTTAGCCAATATGTAGAAGGTAGAAAAGTGGAGATTTTGGAATAATTATCCCTTGGTGGTCGGTCGAAAAATTCTTATAAGATCTTTCTTCTTCTTCGAAAAAAAAAAAAAAAAAAAAGAGAAAAAGAAAAAGGATAGATATATATGTGCATCTTCATATATATATATATATATCTAAATCCTTCGATATGCAAAAAAAAAAAAAAAGAAAAAAAAAAAAAAAAAAAAAAAAAAAGAAGAAGAATAGATTAGAAGGGAGAAATAAGGACTAGTTGTTGAGTTGTGTTGAAAACTCGATCCATTGCCTCAAGGCAAAAGTGTTGACGTGTGAATTTTGGAGAATCGAGTTTATTTAAGTCCCTAGAGGTGAATTCATTGTTTCAAACGCCTATCTTTCAAATTTTGGCGTAATCACCTCAATTCAAGAAAATTAGCCACACATTCCCATATTACCTACCTCGGACCAAAGAGCCTAACAATTGAAAGCCACAAAGCCCCAATGATCCCAATAGCTTATTGTTCAATATTAGTTGAGTAAAATAATTTGGTGAGTATTTGGAGTCAAATATATGCATGTAAGTATAAATTCTTTCTATCTTTAACTTGCAAATATTGGATACTTGAAGCAATTGTATGACTTGTGGTTTTTGGTAATAGTGAGTGACTAAGTGCCGTTGAATGTTAAGCTTGCGAATACCTATGAATTGTCATGATCATTGCAAGTTCTGAAAACGCGAAGTTGACCAATCGATCTATGTAATGAGATGTATGGTTTTGTTTTGTGTTATTAATTTAATTTTACTTGAGGACAAGCAAAAGTTCAAGTTTGGGGGTGTGTTAAGTGTATATTTTATACACTTAATTGTACCATTTAATTGGAGCTTTTGATGTGTTTTTACGATAATTGGTGCTTAATATGGCTATTATTTGTATTTTAGGTGCAAATTGAAGAATTGGCAACTTTTGTGGTGAAAACTGCAAATTCAGAGAAAAAGTAGGCCAAAAGTGAAAAAATCAGAAATCTGGAGAATTTAAGACCGCACGGCCGTGCGGATTTTAGTTCAAAATCTCACACGGCCGTCCGGGTGGACGTGATGGCGCAGTGAAGGGAACTCAATTATACAAGGAAACCCGCCCTATTAGACTTTTGCACCCTATTTAAAGGCCACAAGCACACAATTAGACCTATCTTTTGAATTTTTTTTACCTTTTATCGTTATTATTAGTTTTTAGTTTTTATCTTTTCTACACGCAATCAAGGAGCAAGAGAACGAAGACGAAGACTTGACGACTCTTCATCCTAGTTTTCCTTTTTCCTTTTCTTTTTTGATTTTTATGATTTTTCGTATTTTTATTATGTTTTTCGTAACGAACATGAGTAGCTAAGTTTTTATTCTAGGATTTTATTGGAACCCTATGTGGTAATTCGAACCTATTTTTCTACTTTTATGCAAGTTTAATTCTTCGATTATTTCTTCTATCTTGATCTTATTTAGTGCATGAGCGTAGCTAACTTATGTTGCTATTTGTTATTGTTAGAATTGATTGACAGATCGTTTTAATAATTAGAACAGGGATAGAAGAGCCTTCGAGTAGTTTTTCACCGAATGTGTGTGTTAATTGCATGTATTATCGTAGACATACAGATAATACCTTAGGTAGCCGTTTACGAGACTTGTTATTTAATGCTTTATTTATACTAGGTTTGCATAGACATATAGTGAATCTTTTATGAATAATAGGTTTATAGCGCAGCGACAGCTGGTTATAAATAATTTCGTGTCTTGGGTTAATAATCGGGAATCGTAACTTGCATAATAGGAGATTAATTGGGTGAAGAATTATCGCATAGGGGGAAGATAAAATCCTAGATCCGTTTATTATTGATTTTTTTTCTCGTGATTACTTGTGTTCTTAATTAGTTTAATTTATTTAGTTAATTAATTTGACAACCCTGCGTAGGCTGGATAAAAATCACAATTGTTAGGATTTGGTACTTAGGATTAAATAATTTGCGTATTCCCTGTGGGATCGACATCCGACTCTCACGAGTCTACTTTACTACTTGTTTGCGATACGTACACTTGCGTGTTGGTATTTAGCACCCAACAGTTAACCGACTCTAGTTGTTATTTTTTTTTTTTTTTGATTTTTTGTTTTATTGATTCTAATGTATAAATCAATTACACTGTTTGTATTTTTTTTTAAATATAATTGATTTTGTTTTTTTTTTAATTGTGATTTGTTATTTTTAGTAGTTAAATTTTTAATCGACTATCCATTAATGAACCTGATAGAGAAAAAAATTAAAACAATAAAAAAAAATTTAAAAACAAAATCAGAAACAAAAAAAAAGTTAAAAAATAAAGAATTTCCTTAATTGACTATGAAGCATAGTCGTTTTAAGACTAGTCGACTATGCTTCATAGTCGATTAAAAAAACGGAAAAAAAAAAAAATCGCTGGAGCGCGTGCCCAGCTGTGATGAGGTGGCGGGGCGGGGGTAAAGCTGGGAAACACAATGGCTAAATTGGATCATGGGCTTTTCTCAAATGGTCTAAAATATTTTGGGTCTATCCCCATTAAAAAAAGTAATGAGGGGGTTATGTCAAAGAGCCCCATTAATTATATATGTTATGGTACTACTAATTAAATGAATGATTGATTTTATTATATGGATTATGGATTTTCCTTCCCCGCAGAATACGATACTCACTAGAGGAGTACTAAATAACTCACTTTATTTATTGCCTTAATTCACACACATTTTTATATTATGCGTTCCACTATTCTTTAGAATTTCCAAGTTAAAACGAATAATAATAATTATTATTATTATTATTATTATTATTATTATTATTATTATTATTATTATTATTATTATTATTATTATTATTATTATTATTATTATTATAAAATTGTTTAGATTTTGTTGTGAGGTAATAGTAAGTCTTATTGCAATAAAATAATAAGAGTTTTTTGTGCGTAAGTCTCTAACCAAACATCTTTATTAGTTTAAGTTTAGGGGTTTTATCTCTCTCACCGATAAACTCATCCCTTTAATATCTTATATATAAAAGAGAGAAACGCTGAGCAATCCTAAAAAACTCTATTGGTATTTTTGTAATTAAATATTTTTAATGTTTTTTTCTCTACTAATTTTTAACGATTCTCAAAATTGAAACTAAATCCTGAAGAATCCTATCTAATGGTACTTTTGCAATTATATATTTTTAATATTTTTGTCTACTAATTTTTTAACTATAATTTTCAACAATTATCAATCTCCTATTTTCATCAATATATCTCAAATCTTAAGAGATAAAGATAGAAATTCGATTCGTTATTAATCTATATATTTGGATTATAAATCTTAATATGTCAGATTTAAAAAACATTATGTTTATAAAATATGAATAATATTAGATTATTAAATTTTACTATGTTAGTATACTATATTTTCTTATTATGTATTAAATTGATTATCCTTTTTCACTTTTGAAATAATATCCCGTGCATCGCACGGGGAAAAAATGCTAGTTTGTTATAAATAAAGGAACAATTCATGTATATGACAATATTACCCCCAACCCATTATACCCAATTCTTAATTGTAACCACAATTTAATCAATTTTGTCCACAAAAATCCAATTTTGACCACAAAAATCCAAATTTGACTCTTGTTTTTTCAAAAAAAAAAAAATTTTTGCCACCGGAGCAGTCAACGCCGGTCTCCGGCGTTGACTTTTCGATTTATTTTTATTTTTTAGATTTTTTTCCTTGGTTTTCGGCGTTAACTTTTTTTTTTTTTGTAATTTTTTTTCGCGGTGCCGCCGGTCTTTGGCGTTGATTTTTTTTAGTGTTTATATTATTTTTATCTTTTTTATTATTATTATTTTTTTTTTACGTCCGCCGCTAAACGTTGACTGTAATTGTGCTGTCAGTGACAGTAAATTAACGTAATTATACTGTCAATGACAGTTAATGAACGTAATTGTACTGCTGTTGACAATGCATTTATGTAATTGTTCTGCCGTTGACAGTAAATTAACGTAATATTATTATTTTTTATTTTTTGTTATTTTCTTGTTTTATTTTGTCTGATTTATTGACAAAGTCAACGTAATTATATTACCGTCGATGACGGTAAAATAACTGTAAAAACAGTAATATTACTGTTAACAATATCAATATATTATTTTTTTTGGGTTTTTTGTTTAGTTTGAGTTATTCACGGAATAACGTAATAATATTACTGTCTATTATTGTAATATTATTGTAAACACAATAATATTACAATGGTTGACGGTAATATTATGGATTTTTTTGTTTGTTTTTCCTCCAGTTTAGTTTTTGGCCGGCGTATAGGTTCGCAGCTTGTTTCCCTAACGTCATTAGGTTAACAAATTACGAATTTAATTGGTTACCTAATTCCTAAATTAATTTAGCTAATTAAATTAAATACGTGTGAATATAATTATAAGAAAACGTTACAGATTATCATCAAAATTTGATTAAAAAAATGAATCGCAAATTTAATATAGGTTTGTAAAATAACCATTCGACAACATGCTATGTGTTTTGTTACAGTTAACCCTATTAGACAACACACATTATATCTTGTTACAGTTACGCTTTCAACTTGCCAGAAACAATGTTATAAAGAACTTGTCAACTGAGATATTAGAACATGTTGTCGCGTCTTGTAGAATCATGAGTTAACAACACACTAAACACACATGTTGTTAAATATATTGTTCAGGAGCTAACAACAACATTCATTGAAAACGTGTTGTTGAAAATATATTATTACAACACACATAATATGCGCTTTGTTAAAATAAAGTGGTTAAAAGACAGTTTTCTTCTAGTGGAAATTGGTAATTACGACATAACTCTATGTATGGTTTCGTTATTGTTGACAACAGTGCATGTATTATTAATCATTTTCTTAATAATGCAGGTAAAAGAACTAGAGAAAGTGTTGTTGAAATGGGACAACGACAAGAGATTCAATTCGACGCTATGAATTATAAAAATGTAGATTGGGTACCCATTCAACCAAATACATAAATTTAAGACAATGTAATTTTTCTTCATACTTTTGAGTATAGTACAAACTAAAAATTAAATACCAATATGTATGACTGTGGATTTTACGTGTACATGCTAATTCTATTGGACAAAGAATTCAACGCACCATTGAGTAATATGAGCAATAATTTTATGCTTAAAGAGATTAACAATGCATTTGATTTTGTTGAAAATATATGACTAGCAATATTATTTATCTAACTATTTTTTTTAGGAACAATTAGTAACTCCAAGAAAATTGTTGGCTTGAAACATGTGCAATAGTCCACATAATATAATTAGATACCCAAGCAACAATTCAGATAACGATTCGGATAACGAGTTGACCTATTGATATTTTTTTCTACAAAAGATATTGCTTCATACGATATTGTGCATAAATTGTTTTAAGACAACATGTTATGGGAATATTTAGTTTTTAGTTCCGGATTAGTTGTTTTAAGACAACATATCCTCAATATTTTCAATGAGCACATCACACACCAATTTTCCCCACGCAAAATCTCCTACGCGCTCCAATTTGTCAACATGTTGATAAACGTACCTCGGCAGTTGAAAGTAATTCGCCCTTTGGTAATAAGAAAGTATTGCAAGCAAAAATAATGTACAACCTACTAAAATTCTCAATGGATTGTTGGTCGATCTTAGCAGCATACTCCTCTAGTTTTTCAGCAATTTGATGACGCTTTACTTGGGTCAATTTACCCCCAAAAACACGTCTAGTGAAAGGAATTTCTATTTCCATACTTTTATTGATGGGTACCCCTTAAACTGTAATCCCATCATAATGCAGAACTCCCTAGGGTCAAATACGACGGGGATAGTTGGAGGGTTCCTTCCTCCATCTTATTGAATCTTATTCCTCTTGCAATCACTAGGTATGATTTCTGGTATGGTTTTTCCTACAGCCATGACAACTCAATAGTGTTCCCGCACCACTTTATATATTTATTATTTCTAAACTATTTAATCTAATTATCTGAAGGGACAAGTACAGATAAATCCCCAACTCAAAAACTAACATACGGGTCAGTCCCCAGTAATGTTTTACTAGCGGGTCAGTCCCTACAGCAAACATAAACATGCAGTTCAGTCCCTGACCCCACTTTTTTCCACTTTATACACTCTCTCTCCTCTCTCCTCTCTCCTCTTTCTTCTATTTCTTCTACACTCTCTCTCCTCTCTCCTCTTTCTTCTACACTCTCTCTCATCTCTCCTTTTTCTTCCATTTTTTCTCTTCTGCTTCTCTCTCCTCTTCGTTTCCTCATATTCTCTGTTACAACTTTTTGTTTTCCGACCGCGAAAAAAAACTGTAATTTCCCACAATGGCAGCAAATGGTGAATCAAACCCCATCGCCGCTGGTATTATTGGAAGTTGTCGGTACAATGATTCTCTGCACATCATTTCCATTAAGAATGATTCGACTTTAAAGGAGATCTATGAATCTATCTTAATGAAGTGGAACGATATACATCCCGACAAATTGGTGCTCCAATACTTGGCTCCCCGTGAAAGAATGTTCGTCACACTGACTTCTGACGAAGACGTGGTGAATATGGTTACATTGCATTTGGTAATGCACATGAGTGTGGTCGACATTATGGTGAGCCGCACTGATGAACTTGATGGGCGTAGAAGGAGGACCCCCAGCAACGGGTATGCAGCCATTCTGTTTTGTATGCATTTGCAATTTGTTTATGTAATCATAGCATAGAATATAATACTACATAGTATCGTGTTACTATAGTGATAGTGTAGAATAACTAAGCTCGTAGTATCATATAAGGCTACTAATAGTATTGAATGATTGTATATCAAGTATCTTATAAATTGAGTTCTCGTATGCAAGCATTCCACTCAAAGTACTTATTTCAATTGTTACAATTTATTTGTAGTCCACTGTAATAATCCAATTTGTTTCATTGTTTTTGCATTTTCCAGTGAGTCTGTTAGTTCCAACAGTCCGTTGCAAATTGAGTACAATCCGGTTGGAGATTCAATTGATGCATGGAGACATTGCATACGCGGGGAGAATCAAATTTTCAAAGATGCTAATGATTTTAGGTTTATGTTAAAAAATTACTGCATTGCTAACAATCGAACCTTTAAGTACAAGAAAAATGATCAACAAAAGATCATAGCCGTATGCATTGTTGAAAATTGCAAATGGAGGGTTTATGCATCAGTTCATAAATCAGACAAGTTATTCGGCATTCGCAAATGTATTCTTGAGCACAGTTGTGGTGATGCTACTCTTCGTACAAGGGGTCATCCCAAAGCCGATGCTACGTGGATTTCGCAACTTATGAAACAAAAATTGAGAGATGAGCCAGGTTACAAACCAATTGCTATTTTGAATGAGGTCCAAAGAAAGTATGGTGTGGAGCTTAAGTACTATACGGCGTGGAGAGGTAAGGAAAAAGCAATGTATGACATTCATGGGGATGAGTCGAGCTGTTATGATAAACTGAGACGTTATTGTCGTGCACTAAAACAGAATAACCCTGGTAGTTGTGCCGATTATGAGATTGACCCTCAAACTCAAAAGTTTCTTCGGATCTTTATTAGTTTTGGAAATTCTATTTTGGGTTTCCACCGTGGGTGTAGGCAAATGATATGTTTGGATGAGACTCATATTAAAAATAAGTACAAAGGTTGTTTACTTTCTGCTGTGTCCAAAGATCCAAATGATGAGTTATACACATTGGCCTATGCAATTGTTGATGCCGAGAATGACAGGAATTGGGAGTGGTTTTGTAATAAGCTGAAAGAGATTCTTGTTTATCACAATGGGGGTTTATTGAAAAATTACACAATTTTCTCTGATCGTCATTCGGGGCTTATTAAAGCCATTCCACTGGTATTTCCTGGTAGCAACCATGCTTATTGTTTGCGACATTTGGAGGATAACTTTAGAACAAAGGTTCTAAGATCGTATCCATTGCACAACAAAGCATATTGGGTGAGTGTTCTACATAAGGCTGCAATTGCTCCTACTCGGCAAGAGTTTGAGGAACATGTATCTCATATAGTTCAATCAATGCCTCGTGCGGAATCATTTATCCGAGACTCTGATCCCAATCGTTGGGCCAATGCATACTTTTCTGGGGATAGATGGGGAATAATGAACAGTAACCAAGTTGAATGTTGGAATGGTTGGGTTAAAGATGAACGATCTTTGCCAGTTCCATCCATGATTGATATGATACGAATCAAAATAATGAAGATGATAGGTAATCGACGAGAAGATTCTTTAGTCATGACTGGTACAGTGTGTCCAAGAGTTGAAAAGAGATTATTAATCAACTATACGGCCTCTCGCTTATTAAAATATACCAGATCCAGTGGTACGCGTTATGAGGTGTATGAAGAGGATAAGTCGTATGGTGTTGATTTAGAGACTAGGACCTGTACTTGCAAATCTTGGCAGTTGGATAAACTTCCGTGCAAACATGCATGTGCAGGTATTGAGTCGAAAGGATATTCGGTATTTGAATTTGTTGATCCTTGCTTCCGGGTTGATTTGTACAAAGAAGTATACAAGTACACAATTAATCCAATTCCTTCTTTTGATGAGGACTTTGATTTGTACAATGCACAAACAAATCATGGCCCGGAAGATATATTTATTAATCCACCTGCATCGAAAGCTCTACCAGGCCGTAGAAGGACGAAAAGAATTCCATCGCAAGTCGAAACCCGTGCTACGAAGTGTGCACGGTGTGGTAAACCTGGACATAATCGTCGTACGTGCAAACAACCAGTCCCGTAGCACTACTCTGTTTCTACTTTCTTTTTATGTTGTTTGTACTTTGTTGACGTGTACTTCGTACTATTTATCCATTTGTATGTACCGTGATATGACTGTTTTAGTTACAATAGAGCGCACTGTTTTGGTTATAATAGTATTGTTATTACGTTGATATGGTATAACGTACAACCTAATATGGTTCACAGAAGAATAATAAGTGAATCGATTTGAATTTTATGACCGTTACAATAATATAGCCGTTATTTTTGTCGTCAGAACTTATAAAAAGCACGTAATTATGTTCGTCTGCTTCTCATTCATGGCTTCTTCCAGTAGCAACTCTCAAAAGAGTAGCTTAAAATATAAAAAAGATAACTGCAAGCGTCGTGATTGTGGGAAAAAAACAATAATCATGGTTTCGGAGACAAGTTTGAATCCAGGGAGGCTATTTTATTGTTGCCCAGACCATGGCTATTCTCATTGGTGTGAGCCATTTGAAATTGGGCAAACTTTCCCCCACAACTATTCTCGATATGAAGAAAGTGAAGCTACGAGTGGATCGACGAACCAAGTTCATCGCGAAAGTAAAGTGAAGAATTCCAGAGATGAAGCTGGAGTAATTCAAAGTTTGATAGTGTTAAACCTAGTAATATTTGCAGTTTACATGATTTGTCAAACCTATGTATTGTTTCTTAACTAATCATCGTAACAATACGAGTTAAAAGTTAGTGTCGTGTATTGTAGCTCGTTAATCGTATTGTAATGTCAATGTGTAAGTACTTTGGGTACTTACAAATAAATTAACTCTATCGATGAATCAATTGTTGTTGTTCGTAATAAATGTACTCGTACAATATAGTGATAAATATTGTTCTACTACTGTTCTGTATATCACGTTCACAATTCACGCATGGATCGTACAATATCTACGTATTATAGTTCCTACAATATAGTACTTCTGTACTGTACTAATGGTACCCTTGTTATAGTACCATTTGGGGTCAACACGACCATATAAAACCATCTCATTCCTCATTTATTCATTTTGTGACTCATTTAAAAGAATTGAGACAACTTGGGAGTTGATAGTTGTTGAATATGGTCACTTGTGATGAAAACAATCACTTATACATAGAAGCCTTGCACATTAGTAGTGTATCTTGTAAGGAATTCGATACATTTGTTCCATTTTGAACCCCAAAGTTAAAACTAACATAAAAAAACCTTACAACCTTAATTGAAAACATATTTAATGTCTTTCCCACACTTATGGATCACAGATAAATAAAAAAAAATCGAGCAATTCAAGTCATCACTATTATGGTATTGATTGGTCTAACGACTAGTATATTCGGTGGCGTGTATATGGATGGACGGAACCGTTGTTTGGTATCCGTGTCCCAACGGTAGAGTACTTATGTACTGTACTAATAGTACCCTTGTTATAGTATCATTTGGGGTCAATACAACCATAGAAAACCATCTCATCCCTCATTTATTCATTTTGTGACTCATTTACAAGAATTGAAACAACTTGGGAGTTGATAGTTGTTGAATATGGTCACTTGTGATGAAAACAATCACTTATACATAGAAGCCTTGCACATTAGTAGTGTATCTTGTAAGGAATTCGATACATTTGTTCCATTTTGAACCCCAAAGTTAAAACTAACATAAAAAAACCTTACAACCTTAATTTAAAACATATTTAATGTCTTTCCCAAACTTATGGATCACAAATGTGCAAAACAAATTTGAGCAATTCAAGTTATCAACATTATGGTATTCCTCATTTTAGGTAATGGTATAGATGGGGTAGGTTATACGCATCGACAAGAAACTAACATAGTATTAAAAACTAATTTGCAAAACACTTACACTGTTCAAAATAGGTGTCACAACACCACAAAAATGGGACAAGTTTTAAAACCATCATCGCACGAAAACACTAATCTAAAAGTACTTGTTCATGCAAAGACAGTCAAAAGCATATTGTTCGTGACAATCACAACCCAAAAACACCCATAAAACAGATTGTTCAAAAATAATTTTAAAAATTGTTCAAAATATGTTCAAAGCATCAGCATCTACTGCCTCTCTATCCACGCCCTGGTGCTTTAAGAAGACAAGTGCTAGTTTTGGACGGAGTTTTTTGATCAAGCAAGTTTTCGCCTTTTCCCAAGTCTCAGCGTCATCTCTAGCATGGCAATATGCCCACATGCAGACAAAAATCCCGCAATCATCATTCCCTTCCTGTTGTCTGCATCCTTCTACCCATTCGACATGTGAAGGTATATCCAACGCGGTTTTATTTTCAATCACCCTGCTATAATAACTCGCCTACAAAAATATACTATTATATTAGTATACATGTATTTTCATTACCATATTGCAGCACCGTTCAATCACAGTACCCAAACTATGGATTAATAAAACATATACCACATTCCCCAATATATAAATTAAAGAAGTAATAATCGATTTAAGGACTTACGATATAATCTGCAATTCCTGGGCTCGTCGGAGAATGGGCTAGGGAGTTCCAATGCCGAAAAACTTTTTCGTTTGGGTCCAACACAAGCAAGAACCAGTGATCTTTGGGATTTATAGGTATCAGAACATATTTTTTGCTGTAGAGACGTGCTATTCCAAGCTTCTCAACTGCGGTAGATCCAAAATATGTTAAGCTCTTTAAAAAGGTATCCAACTCTGTATCACCCATCTTTCTGAAGTCCATTCGATCTCGTGCCAGTATCTCATACTACGAAACATAATAAAAAAAATATAAGATAAACCAGTATACACAGAATGCAACATCTTTGTTAAACCAATATATACCTGGGCAGGGGTCTCGAGATAATCAATCTCATGCCCATGTTCCTCCATGATCGCTTCGGAATTTAACAGGCTCATGTATATGTCGATGTGCTCCCCACTCAGATGCTGATCAAACAAAAGATCGCACATATGCTTTCCAGTCAATACGTTGGGGCCTCTTTCGATCACAGTTGCACTACAATAGAAATAAACATGCACTATTTGTTAAGTACGCCGATACTACATAAGAAGTTATTATATACCAAGTGTTCAGTAAGTTAGTGATTTTACCTCAAATCAACATCAACGAGGTACCCATCAAGTACTGCCCTCTCTACATCAGTAAGCTCATCTCGGCATACATAGTCTGTTCTCCCCTGGTACGTAGAATTATCTACGACAACCTATATCCAAAAGAATCATTAGTGATAATAGTAATAACAATAATAATAATAATAATAATAATAATAGTTATTATTAAATTATAAGGAATAATTACTGTTGTGGGCAGTTTAGCAGAGACTACGCTGATTTCTTGTCCTCGACTCTTTCTTCTTCGATTGTCTTCTCTTGCCTTCGACCTTCTCTCCCTCTCCATGTTCAGTACTTTTATCAAGGTTTCTTCTTCATCTTCTTCTTGTTGTTCTCCTTCTTTCTCTTTTTTTTTTCCTCATCTCCAAGTTCTTCAACAGCATTAAAAAATTTATCTTCCTCCTCCACTTCTTTTTTCCCTTCATCTTGCTCCTCTTCCTCTTCCTCTTCCTCTTCAAAAATAAGAGCTCTTCTTCTCTTTTTCTTCCCCTCTGTCTCTTCCAATCTCACATTCTTCCTCTTCACTTGTTGTGCATTTCCAAAATGCTGCTGCAGTTCACATAAAATAAACAATGATTAGTGTAATACAACAACATCACGTTGGTTTACAAATGGGACATGTCCTTCTCATTAATAGTACTCTTCACTTACACGCCTGACTTCGACTTTTCCACCGACCTCCACAGGACCAGATAGTTCTTCCACAGGTGAAACCAAAAACTTTCTCTCTTCTTTGTGCACGGAGAATGATATCACCTAATAAACATATAGACAAATTGTGCATTAGTTTATTACGTAAGCAAATAACACAATGAAAATGCATAAATCAAAATTGTTACCTTGTCTGGTGTGAGTTCTCTAAAAAGATGTTTAGCCTGACGTTCGTCGGCTGGTATTTTAGAGTCGGACCATCGAAAAAATCTTGGGTATTCGAAAACGCTTGTTGCGAATCCCAGAGAAGTGATCCTTTCACTCACCCATGCCAACAACCCAATGGTGCAACCATCAAAATACCCTCCTGCCCCAGCCAAGTGTGCCTCAATATTTTCAATGAGCACATCATACACCAATTTTCCCCACGCAAAATCTCCTACGCGCTCCAATTTGTCAACATGTGGATAAACGTACCTCGGCAGTTGAAAGTTGCCCTTTGGCAATAAGAAAGTATTGCAAGCGAAAATAATGTACAACCTACAAAAATCCTCAATTGATTGTTGGTCGGTCCTAACAGCATACTCTTCCAATTTTTCAGCAATTTGATGACGCTTTACTTGGGTCAATTTACCCCCAAAAACACGTCTAATGAAAGGAGTTTCTATTTCCAGGTTTTTATCGATGGGTATCCCCTTAAACTGTAGTCCCATCATGATGCAGAACTCCCTAGGATCAAAGACGACAGGGATAGTTTTACCTCCAAACCAGAACGTACGTGTCTCCACGTTGTATGTCCTCTTCAACAGAACAGACACCTTTAAGAAACTATGGTATATCTTAGGCATGTTTAAGAAATGCCCGAAAGGATTTTCCTCCAATGCAGCATAGTGTCTGGCCGTCATCATAGGTTTAATTATGTCCATTTGTTCTTTGAAGGCGCTAGGAGAGCACCTGCATGCTTGTTGGGCGTCATCATCTGCAACTGTATTACGATTATAAAGGAAAAACAATAATCAGAAAAAATACAATTGTAAAATAACAATGGTACTATGTAGATATTGTAATTATACCGTCACTATATTGTATCAATACCATACACCTACAGTACTTATATTGTTGGGCAATACGACATATACTATTTAATTACATCAGAAGAACTGCCATTACCTTTTTTTATACCTTCTAACTACAATAGCACTACCGTTGTGTAGTAAGACTTATATTATTTAAACACATCT